TTTTCCGTAAAAAGCACTGTCACCCATATATGGGTGACGCGACGATCAACGTGTTAAAAATGCAATGGAGGATGGATCTCTGAAATATCGTTAAATGGAAATCGTGCAGACCAGCGTCGAAAAATGTCCCGATACATCTGGGATGACCTAATACTTCCAGTTTCCGCGTAGCTTATTAAACTCGGATAACCGAAATACCTCGAACGGCCCATTACATCCGAGCGTCGAGGACGGCTTGATACTCCGATGTGTAGATAAGTCAGTTAGCGACTCGCTCTAGCGCGTTCCAACGTGGAGGAACCTTTTTTGCGTAGCGCGCCCTCTTATTGCTCTCCTCTCTCCTTTACTCCTGCTCACTCCTGGCGGGTGATTCATCATCGGCGTCGTCCTCTCTCCTTTCTCTGGCTCGGCTGGCTGGCTGGTCTGGCTGGCTCGACGACTTGCTTGGTTTCTGGCTTTCTGGCCCCTGGACCCGCGTGGTCCCCCCGTCTCTTTCCCTCGGCCGTGTCGCTCGCTCTTCTTCCTTCTACTCCTTCTCGGACCTATGTACTCGTTTTACTCCTACACTGGAGCCGTACCAACATGCAGTTCTGGCTCGGCAGGGCGCTCTTTCTCGCTGTCGGCTTATAGGCATTCCCGCATTTCTCCCCGGCACATCTTGGAGTCTGCGACCGGCGAGATATCTGTACTCATCCGCTTAAAATTTCAAACGGACTCTGCAATCGAATCTGCCCGATTCGCACCTGCACTCGCGATCCTCGTCGCGCTTTCGCGACGGTGGGTTGGCTGGTTCTGCTAAAGTTCCAATTTGATAGGACGTGCACCAGTTGACACCTACCTAAACGTATATGACCCCGTACACTTCGGATAGGCTGTTGCCGTACGTTCGTATTTGAACATCCCGCTGTTTCCCGTCACACCAGGCCAAGATATCTACACTCCCAAGGTACACCCACTGTAAGGGCGAGTGCGCGTCGCTATAAAACATACGAAACGATATATATTACCCGGCGATATCACTCTCCGGCACGAGGCGATACGGTAATATTTCGCCCGTGAACGGTTGGAAATGTCGACGGTGTAAACACTGCGGGGGCACGAGCGGCTGGCGAGAGCCCTCTTATTTCCTGCTCGTCCCCGACGTCTTCCCTCGTCACCGTTGCCCCGCGATCGAATATGATGCTTTTCCTCGTCCCCCATCCTTCCTCTGGACGATTCAATTATACGAGACACGGAACTGTGTTCAAGCTCGCGGCCGCCAGGATTGATAGCCGGCAGTCCGCGGCAGACATACGCTTCGGATTCTCTTAGATCCACGGCGTGGGCGGATAGTTCTGTCGGAGGAAGTCCGCTCCGTGTCGCGGATCAGCGTTATGTTCTCTTTTGCCAGCAATCTTACATCGCGACGCGCCATCGAACTGGACGATTCGACGAGGCGATCGTCCGTGACGATTGCGTGCTCGGAGCGAAACTGTGCTCGATCCTGGCGTTGAAATATCGCGGCGTTTGCGAGCAACCGAGAGGTTCGAGGATCGCCTAGAAGGGACCACCTTTGGTTTCGAAGGTGGGATTCCGGTAATTCGACGCATCCGAGAACAGAGGAAGACCGATGGGACGTGCTCGAAAGGTAGAGACAGACGCGAGCAAGCGAAGAGGGATGGAGCGAGAAACCCGGAGAAGAGGCAGAGAGACGTGGGTTGGGTTCGGGGGATAGAGTAGGGGCGGGAGGGCGTTCCACGGCACCCTGCATGGGGTAGCTTGCAACCTCACGCGACACTAGAGCCATCTATATCCCCGGAGATTTATGAGTTCCTGGTGCAGCGGCTGCTCGCAGCAACTACACACCACGCAGTATCGGTCCGGTACGGTGTTGGTGCTGCCCCCTGTCGCGACGGGCGTGCTGTTGCCCCGCGGGGGTTACGCGCAATTCGCGCTCGTGCAACGTCGCTCTGATAAAAAACCTGCGACTCGATCTCAATCCGATGCTTCTGCGAACTTCCTCCGTCCCGTCTACCCGTCTCAACCCTTCTCCTCGTCCTCGTGCTCGGCCTCATCCTCCATGGTCCTGCGCGCTCTCGACACGCCGGCTGGTTCGTTTGTTGCCGCGCTCTCTGTATCCCTTTTTATCTTCTCTGCTCGGACTTGAAATATCGATCATCATTGTGTTCACTACGCGTTTATAGACTGCGAACGTATTGAAATTATGGTTCACTGTCCTCGCGATCGTGGTGGACCCTGAGATGCTCTGTTAATCTGCTTCAAAGATGTATAAAACCTCGACCAAAAAATAGACAAAGTATGAAAAGAGCAAAGAGACTATAAGAAATTGTTACTAAAAAATGGATGTACGGTTTGTCTATATAATGTTCTTGCGAAAATGTACACGAAGCGGGGGAAAGCGATCGTCGTCGATGCGAATCGTTGGGAGGAAGGCACTCGTAAGTCGAGATTTTTCAAGTGCCCCATCGACGCGGCCGTCCATTCGCCACCCCGTGATATCCTGCAGGGGTAACCGATGAAAATAGCGAGAGTGGGGTTTACCGGCGGCGGCACGAGGGTACGGGACGACGACAACGATATGAGTACTGGTATCTACCTACCTATGCTTCTGCTCTCCAACCCGAACGCCCCACCCTCTTGATGCGGCCGGTTTACGAGCAACCTGTGGTAACGAGAGCGATAGATAATAACCGCTCCGTGCTCAACCCCATCCCCCTTTTCTCTTCCTCTCGCGTTTCTATCCCTCTACCGCTCCTGTTCCGGAACGCGCCACGACCCTTGCACGTGGATATTACCTTCGGTGATTTTTTCTCGATTCGTTCGCTCGGACCTCGCTCAACGCTCCCAAACCGCCACCAACCGTCGCGCGATGCAATTCTCGCAGATAATATCTTCATTCTGACGGGGTTAATTCAAGGTTAATTAGATACAGACCGCGGTGTTACATTCACCGAGGTGGCTTAGAACAAGAAGGGATGATTCGTCGGAGGCGTAACGGGGGCAGACCTCGATCTCCGCAATGACGGATAAGGGTGTTTTGCTGGAAGACGCATCGAGATTTGTGCTTTCGGTTTTTGCGAGCTTCAAGCAACATTAGACTCTCGACGTAAAGGCACGCGGAACGGAAATTTATTGCGGCTTAAAAAGTCCGGCTTCCTTCGGAAATCCTGATAAATGCGCGAAGGAGCGACGCTCGTGTACGTACATTAAACTCGCTGCCTGGCGTTCGTTGCAGGGCTAGAAGGCGAAGTGACTCTAGGCCGAAAAGCAAACTACGGCAAAAATGAAATACAGCCGCGGTACAAACAAACGTTACGCTGGGGCGGTTTCGTAACTTCTTCTTGAATAAATTTCTCGAGGATCTCTTCCCTGTCGATTCGTTCCGCGCGACTTCTCCATTAGCCAGCTAACTTCTTCGCGATGAAAAAGTTATGGATCTTACCAAATAAGCGGATCCTTACATTTTCGGAAATTGTCCTAAAACATTGCCATACGCCGTGTGCAAACATGAATAGTAAGTAGAAATTAAATCCCGTCAAACTGCGCGCGTGCTCCATACATTTTTCAAGTCCACTCGAAAACCAACCGTACAGGGAAGGTCATCGCACGATGTCAGCTTGAATTTACACGGGCAGTTAACCTATTTTTGTTCGCGTCGCAATGTTTGCCCCATTCGGCAGATCTGGAAAAATATCAGTCTCGAGAGAGAGGGTCGTGCGAAGGGTTGAAAAATCAATCGATAGGAACGATAGAAATAACCACCGTTGAAGATACGCGAGTACGGGGCGAAAGATATTCCAAGACGAGCGAGGAGACAGCTCGTATAAGAGGGGTAGATCGAGCAGTTGGCGCGAGTTTGCGGCTGTAAAATGTGCCGACCTTGCCAAGACCCGGGGGAACATCCTCTCTACCTTTCCGTTTCTTTATCCGCTTTTGTCACGACGGCCGACGCGGCCAGGGCAAACAACTTTTTCGAAATCCATCCAGAAATAAAGAACAACGCTTCCGCCTCCACGGACATTCGTGATTCATTTTCTGGCCCGCAACTGCGATCGCTAACGCCGCTTGAGATATGAAAGATGGCACCGAGGAATAACAGAGAATCGCAATGGACAAAGGAAAATACAAACGGGAACCAGGAAACTGCTAAGGGAAGCACATTGAAATTCTTCGGAGACGAGCATCGTCCAACTCCTTAAAGTGGGGTCCCAAAATTATAAAGTCTTACTCTATGTTGTATATCCAAGATTTTTTCCCGAAAGGGATGAAAGGGTCGAATAGTGGATAGCACAAAGTTGTTATAAAAGAAGGTGGAGAGCAAAGGGTTGGAAGGGTGTGAAAAGGCAAAAGAAGGAGCGGATTGGCAGTACCCTGGCTCCGTGTTCTGCCATTCCACCCTAAGACCTTCCCGACTCAACCCCTTTCGCTCTTAACCCGAACTATCGATATCCCGAGATACATACACCACGAAAGCCCAGGCTCAACGTGCGTGTAGCTGGACAAGGCACCACGTGCATTCATCCCATTACAAAAGGAGCTGAACCAGCGCCGGTCGACCCGACCCGTCGTGTCCTCGACATGCTCAACATATGAACGTACCTCGAAGGAGTCGAACCTTGAAACGACTGGGCAGCTCTGCCAGCCGATCTTCCAGGCTCTCACCCCTGAAAACGAATGGTGCTTCTCGATATTTTTAAAAAATCGACGTCATCGCCTGCCATACTAGGACCTTCGGAACTTCTAAATTCGATCCAACTAAGATTTGGTAGAATTATTTCAGTTTCACTTCATCGTCATTTAATCCCTGCTCAGTGCCTCTAACGTTTCATAATCTTCTAACGTGTTCAGTCGTTCTGTATAGAGATTGCAGATGCTATCGTATAACTCGCGCGAATTAGTCGAACATCAACATTCATGCTAAGAAAAAAAGAGACAACAGTCCTTGAACGGTTGGTACACCGTGCGTCAACTAATCCGTACCATTCTGATTTCTGTTTCAGGTGAGTGGCAGGCTGCATCCACTGTCTCTGTAATGCCAAATAGATGGTCGATGTGCGTATCTGTCGATCGTCAATTTATCGGTTGCGGCGAATCGGATGCTGCACCCGGTGAGTGACGAACCCGCCTCCTGCTCCCCCGCGCCAACTAGCCCCCCACACCCCCTGGAACTCCTGTAGCTCACTTTGACCAATATTCCGGCCGACCAATCAGTATCCAAGTGCACAGTGACGTCCGTACAAGCCTAGTATTGTCGTAGTACCCCCCACCACCATTCTCTGGTCTCTCTATCTGTAGTTCCTGCTTTGGCGCAGTAGTGTTGTAGATAGAGGGGGTGAGTTATCGGAGTAGCTCCACACTTACACGGATTCTCCACCGAGTTTCGAATTGCGAAAGATCGACCGGATGGAGAGAACGAGCGCAACGCAGCAAAAACACGAATAAAGACAGACACGCATATACACATACGCATACACACGCAACCGTGAAAAGAAACGAAGAAGAGAAAAGTGAGAAAAATATAAGCGCGAAAACCGAAGATATCGTGTTGGCCGTCGGTTCTTTATCTTTCTATTTGTATAGTTTTGTTACTTACTCGGCGGTACGGTGCGGTAGGGTGCGCGCAATTCTCTCCCCCCCCCCCAAACCTAAATACGTAACGAAAAGGCTAAGGAGAGAGGTAAAACTATTTAGTAAGTTAACGCTTAGGAAGTAGAGAAGTGTCCGCGAGCGTCGACGCGACGGCGGGGTTCTCGAACGATCGGGGGAGGGTGGAATTCGACGACGACGCCATCTCCGCGTGGTACATCCCGGTGACGTTCTTTTTTCTCGCGAATCGTTGTACAAAATATTAAAGTGACAGTAATCCCTCGATAGGAAGTCCTTAAAACAAGTCCAAAAGTAAAGGTAAAAATTTGGTCATTTCTCAATATATCAAACACGACCTAATTCGGGCTTCTTTTACTTCTACGTTATCCGTACTACTCGCAAAGAAACCTATAATTAAAAGCAGTTTGAATTAGATCGTGTTCGGCATCCATCGAGATGTAAAATGTCGATTTTTAGATTATAATCGCTACTCTTCGTTGATATAAGAACGCGGATGGACTCGACTTGAGACGCTATATCGAGGGATTGGTGTACTTCGTCGGTACGTATCGCGTCCCTCCTCCCCAGGTGTCTCGCGTACTCGGCGCACTTCCGTTTCTTCGCTTCTCGAACGTGTACGTGCTCGACGATACACTCCTTCCGGAGCGTGTCATGCTACGACTGCTGTTGATGTTATGTTTTTGTTAATTTTTTTTTATTGTCTGCGGAACGACACGAGAACGCGTTTCTATCGTTGCCGATGTCGCAGCTCCTGCCTCCTCGAATTGGAAAGGAACGAAAGTCGGCGGTGAGATGTCGTCCTACCTAGAGATTGGCAACATTCGTATCCAGATCAAAAATTTTTAATGACTATTCGAATAGGAATATTGTTCATCTCTGGGAAGTCTGGACGCGGCACACGACAAAAACGTGGTTCTTTCGATCGGTACAAAATATATATGTTGATGTTCGATAATTTTGTTAAATATTATATAGAAACGTTTTTATACAACGCGTGCGCTCCGGTAGCCTGACCGAAAGAGGGGCGCGGAGCGCGTGCGGTTGCTTTCCTCTCGCGTCGAATAGCTTTTTTTTGGAATTCGTTTGGAAACAGAAGGTTCTTTCTCCCCCACTTCTTCTTGTTCTTTCGATCATCGTTCCGTTTCCTTCCTTTCGGTTCGCGGTTCTCGGTGAAGCGAGAGAGTACGAACGAAAACAGGCACTCTATACGAGCAAGAATAATTACATTGTACGTACCTACCTAGTACCTAGACGCCTACCCAGACACGAAGTGTGTGTGGCGCTATCCTAAGCAGTAACAACTATTCTAGTTAATGAATGTATACGAATAGCCGCTAAGAGACACGCAAGAGTAATAGGTAAACGCAGTATTTCTAAGAGGAATGTAATATGTTAATAATTATTTATTTTGTGGATCTCGATGATACGAAAAGAATGCGAACGAAAAAAAATAATATGAGAGAAACGAACCCTTCGTAGGTCTGCTGTGCTGTAACGTTTTCATTGGTATTAGGCGAGCATAGGCCTATATGTTAGGGGTAGGTGTACCCATGCGTAGTGTGGTAGCCCGCGCATTTTGTGTAAACGTTGTTCAAGGTGGCGAGAAAGAAAGAAACACGGAACAAAGCAGCAATCCTCTTTTGTAACATATTAGGGTATTAATTGTTTACCAATCTGGATCCTGATTGTATGTAACCCGAAAGCGACCAGGGCCACACCTGCTGCCTATATATGCGTGAAACGTTGTAACGGAAACAGATGTAGGGGGCGGTTGCTGTTCTGAACGCTGAATTGTAATATTACCTTGATTATACGATTACTAAGAAAAAAAAGGAACAAATAAATGCGATGTAAACCTTGACTGTGCGTCTGTTTCGCTTTTTTTTTGCCTGCGGCCCTGGCCGTGACCAATCCATCCGCGAACCACCGCCTCCTGCATCCCTTCTTCCGGCGATCCCTGTTTCCCGTAATATTTCCCCTGTTACACCGTACGCGAGCTATTATTGTTCACGGAAACTAACAGCTTTTTGCGTAGCTTTTTATTATTCGCACCGTAGATAGAATGGAAATGTGCACACTAGCTGTCACCGATCGTCGATTTAAATTCCCGTTTTGGAGGCCGTGGAACTGGAAGCGTTCGCCGGTGGATCGAATTTCACGAGGTATTGATCAAAGCGTAGATATTTGAATAAGGTTTTCGATAGGTTCGAATAGAACGCTTGCAACGCTTCCGGTTCAACCCTTTTCCTTCGCATTAGTGCACCCTTTAAATTTATCCCCTTTGCAGACAGTCTGTGCTTTAACCGAGGATTGGAGACGGGCAAAGTAGAAAGTAATTTGAACGAAAAATTAAAATCGACGGTGTGCTGCTATTACGCAGAAGTGGTTAAGAATCGCTGAAATCAAAAGTCCCGCGCTGACGTAACTCGATCTGAATTTTCCCAAGCTTTGACGTCGCGTTCCTCCAGCTTGCCACCAGTGCCATCCATCGCGATTACGCAACGATGGTCCACGGTTACGTAACAACGGTGGCTATAAATCCGGTCTGGGTCGGACTTACGGGTAGTTGGTAAAACGAGGAAGATATTTCGCGTGGTATCGTTGTCAATTCCTGGCCGATAACCTCGACGGTCTCGCGGTCGAACGTGCAACGGTTGCTTTACGACGCTTAAGCCGCGCGTTAGGCGTCCTCGGTGTCCCCGTCGCGGAGCGCGGATCCGCCTTAACGGGCGCTGCGTTGATCCAGGGTCGAGGTTTCTCTACGGCAGCCCATAAGTCTTGCGATGCTTCGGGATATTAATATGTTATTGCGGAAAGACGCCCTCATGAAAGTCGACAAGGATTGGAAAAATATGTCCCGTGCGTCTCGACGTCGTCGTCGTGGTGCTGGGGTGGCGCGCAGCTCTCCTATACCAGAGGGATGATGCCGCCGCGCTCGCTGCCGGCTGCTGCTGCCGCTGCCTGGTCTTATACACCCACACGCCCTTGTTACTATCGTGCACGACGCGGGGTGTGGTCGGGCCAGAATTCACCAGACGCCATTTGTATTAATGAAGCTCCCGACAATGGTGCACGCTCGATGAATTATGTACCTAGGTTCGAACCCGAACGAAACGCTGGTCGCTGATCTGCTAGGCTCTACTTTGCCAGTGACCTACGCATCGCGCCCTCTTCGCCACGAGGACCTCTAATGACCTCGCGAACCGTGTTCCTCGTAATCCGTTAATACGACACTACCTGTCTCTTGTTTTTTCCGCATTCCGTCGGGACGGTGTATCGCGTCTCGTTCTTTGTAGCGCAAAAATGAAGGAGCTGTGTTTGTTCCAACCATGGCACGCACACCGTGAATAGTAGTCGTGTCAGTGGTTTAACTCGAATACGCCAGCTCAACTTAACTCAAGAAACGGTTTAAAAATTGCCCACGCGTGACAGTAAACGATGCCCTTGGTGTTTCGAGTAGCTGGGCGAAAAGATTCGGCGATTGCACGAGCGCCAAGGACCCTCGAGATTTCCATCAAAGATGGAGAGCCCCGTCTGCGTAAGCGCGACCCATTACCGAAAGACGTAGCGGACATCCATCTCGGCTTGGCGCGGATAAAACGACCGCTTTACTTCGGATTACAGGGGTGCAATTTACAGCAGACGCGAGAGCACCTGTTCGTTCTTGAAGAAATGGAAAGGTGGCGGCAGCGGGGCTGAGAGGAACGCGAGGGGGCAGGTTTCCGGTGGTATGGGAATAGCGTGCCTCGCAAACGTTGCGGTAATTGAATCCCAGTAACTCCCCCCCGGTATATAGGCGTACCCGCTTAAATGTATAACTTCTCCCCTTTGCCGATCTTCTTTCTCCGCCCGTTTGCTTCGCTATATCCCGCGCATTCCACCGCAAAAACCCAGACGACGCTTCCTACATCAAACCTGTGGAATAATCACCTCGATGTCGAGTGCTACCGAAGAAAAGAGTTCTCTCTCGTAATATACCAAGTAATATACCAAGTGTTTCTAACCAGGTGTAGAGGCCTCTGAAAGGTAAGTGGCCTGGGTGTCTCTCCTTCTGTGAAAGCTCTTATCAACTTACGGCTTCCAATCTCGAAAACAGGGAGGAATTTCCGTCGCTACTTTCGGTAGAAATGGATCAGACTCCTCCAGGTGTCGTACTATTCATCCACCGTCGTATTTTGATTGCCCGACTACGCCAAAGCTGTTTCCTTAAATCAGATGTCTAAGAAAAAAGCAAGCCAGTCTCGTGTCGTGTCTTGTACAAAATACTATGGAAACCTTGGCCTTTCGCGTACAAGGTCCGCTGCTCGAGCAGCGAAATCCTGATGCACGATTCTCGCGTTCCAAGCCGGCGCCTTAGCTCGGGCTCGAGCAATACGGATGTGCAAGGTGTAGACGAGTCCTAGCTAGCGTGCTCGGCTCTCATATAATTACTTCACGCTCTGTCCTCTCCTCTCCGCGGCTCGGCGGTCTGAGGAGCACGAGCGCGCGCGCGCACACACACACACACATCAAACGTTCCAACCCCTTGTCCCTGAGCTCGAGTGTATTCCGTCGGCGTACTCTCGCGCAACGTCTGTGTGTTCTCGCAAGGGTGGTTGGCTCGCGCGTGTTGTGTGCCTCGCCGCGGGAAAGGGTGTGAGAACAGGTTGGAGGTGCGCGGGGGATTGTTGCCAAAGGGAGGGGTTATTAGGCAACGCAGCACCTCATCCCTCATCCGCGTAACCGCACCGCAGCGTGTATTATGTAACAACACGGAAACGAACTGCGGGCCCGGCCGGTCGCTCGGTTGGACGGCGAGAGGCACGGAGACGAGGAGGGACGCGTCGTCGCTGTTGTTGCTGCTGTTGTTGCCCCTGCTGCCGCCGCTGATATTACACGACGAGCTAACAACGCGTCCGTGCTCGAAATAAGTGTTCGCAACTCGTAATTCTCGCTCTGTTCCATATTATTTTCGCTAGGACCACAGAGATTTTGGATTTCACCGGGTTCGTCGATCCCGACGAAAGAACGAACTTTGTATCGGATATACCGTGTTGTTTTCCGCGTTTCAGGAAGAACCGGATTGGCAGCGTTTTCCCCTGTGGCCGATATATTTTTAACGTGCCCCGCTCTAATTTCGTGCGGCGGCCTATAAAAATGTCGAGGCTGACGCACGGGCCGCGTTCCGAGTATCGTCTACCAAGATAACGCGATTTCTCGAACGTCCGCGGGACGGTGGGACGGTCGTTGTTTTCCGTGTAAATACTGAAAGAAACTGACATCACCTGGCAGGCGCTTTGATCTAGCCATCCGGGCAGTTAAGATGTCAGGGCTTCTTATTAAAATAATTTAAACTCGGCGGCGACGACTCCCTTCCACGAAATTAAAATCGTCGATGAAGAATATTCCTCGCATCTCGCGTTAGTTAACGTCACGACCAAACGACTGCTCCTCGGTGTTGAAAGATTTCGCGCGGATCGGGTTATATTTATGCGCGTCGACCTTCAATTTCGAGCGAATAAACTTCGAGGATGGACGATAAACCACTCTTTGTTGCAACATAAGTTCTATACTCTCGCGAGGATCGTCGCATCGACGCGATAGCAACTCCCAAAGTTTCCCAATCAGTGACCGAGAGGCCTTGGAAGAATTAGCGACTATTAATCCAGCTAGAAACCGATATAGTCAATGGCAGCTGGACCACGTCGGTGTCTTGGACGGGGTTGTCCAACTAAGGAATAATACAAGCGCGCTAGGCAGAGGAGACCGACCTACCCCTTACTATCCGCACACCCGTCGTCCGCAGATAAATCTTCCCGCCCTCTAATTGGCCTTCCCTCCATTTCCTCGTCCCATACCATCGCTCGACCTATTCCTTCTTCTCTACTCTTCTCTCCACCCTGGCTTCCTATCTTTCTTCCCTTCGGTTCTCTGTGTTCCCAACCCTTCGGATCTCTCCTCCGTCTCTCCTCTTTCTATCGTCTCATCTTGGTCCTACGTCCCACACTCCAAGGCCGGGCACGGCTCCAGGAAACGTTCTCACCCCTACGATCCGTACACCCCCGCCAACCGTGGACCTCTGGCTTCGCATCCAAGCCGGCGAATTATTAGAATTATTAGACATTATATTGGCCGCAGAGTGTCCGTTACACCGCCAAAACTCAATTATGAATTAAGTTATCGGCGGACGGCGTCGCGAGACGTATTGTTCCGCGACTGGCACGAGCGGGCTCTCCGAAAAGAGGTGGGAGGGTACACGAGTTTTAAGGCGAACACCCCTGATCGCGGAGGACATAGCTCGGACGATTGATGACGATGCCGTGCCATTGCCGAGAGATACGGGGATATTTGCGCCCGTGAATCCTCGAACGTTGCATCTTTTCCGTTTTCGGGGATGGGAGGAGTCTTCGTTTCGAGCGAAACGACTCGTTGTTTTCCGATCGCGCAAATCTTGCATGCCTCTTTGTTTCTCGCGCAGGCGTCAGACTGTATTTGTTTCTTCTTTCACCGCGAACAAGGAATTCGGTGATATTCGAAACGCCTGGAAAGTTTCTTTCGTAGCAGCCGCCGGGACCTCTGGACTTAACAAAGAGAAAATAGAGCAATCGCGCGATTTACCTGGCAGTAAAAGTTGACCTCGAGCTGTCTTGTATTTCGTGGAGCACGGCGCTGTTTTTATCTCGTCGAGATTCATTGGGGCGATGGGATTTGTTCCCTGAGAACCTTGAATTCTCAATGGTTCGACGTTTTCAGAATAGAGGCGCTTTTTGGATTCGACAATCTCTGGCAAGCTATTATTCGTTCCTATTTATTTGTATTTATTAAAAGAACGAAATAAACAGTACAGAAATAAGTGCATTCAAGTGTCTCA